CGATTAGACAGAGAGGTGATTGGATGTAGGTGGATGTAGGTATGGAGTTCGATCGATCCAACCTCCTTGGAGATCGATCGAACTTATGCAAAATGCTTCATTTTCAACATGAAAGTGCATGCAATCCTAATCACAGTTCCTAGCAATGTAAATGAACCTAAAGCAAATATCTAGACTTCGCAAGGAATTAAATTAAAAAGAAATGAGGGAGGAATAGGGTTATGACACCCTACGAAATGTACTAGTCTTTAACGTCTCTAGTAAGACGTTGGGCTCTTTTAGCCCAGATCAAATATCTTGTAGTGCATCCCCTCCTTAATGGAGTGATAAGTGTTTTGAACTCCACCCAACAAATGGTTCCCTAGAGAACTTGTTGGATTAGGCTCAAATGAAATTTTTGGTCCTTGGTCATAATGATCCTTGGGCTTCCATGCCCTTTCAAAACAAGCTTTTGAAACAACTTTCTTAGAATTCAGGGTTGAAGATGGACTTTTTGGAATTTTGGTTTCACACAAAAACTCTATTTCTTCACATTCAAGGTTATGATATTTCTCTATAACATTCACTTCTTCATGCTTGTCAAATGAATTGGGGGTCGGATTGAAAATATTCAACTTCACCTTCATGTGGCCAAATGAAATCTTCATTATCCCCGTCCTACAATTAATGTTGGTATTCGCGGTTGCTAAGAAAGGACGGCCAAGGATAACGGGAATTTGGCTCTTAGGATTCGGGACCGATTCCGTGTCAATGACAACAAAATCAACGGGGAAGAAGAATTTATCAATCTTAATCAATACATCCTCAATGATACCCCTAGGCTTTTTGATGGATCGGTCGGCAAGTTGTAAAACCACCGACGTCGATTTCAAGTCTCTTAAGCCTAATTTGACATATACCGAGTATGGAAGAAGATTAACACTTGCTCCTAAGTCTAGAAGAGCCCGATTAATGATATGATCTCCAATGATGAATGAAGTGGTAGGTGAACTGGGGTCTTTGAACTTTGGAAAAGTGTTATGTTGCAAAATTGAGCTTACTTGCTCGATTAAGACCACTTTCTTAGGTACTTGGCTTTTGTTCTTCCTCTTTTGGGTGCATAAGTCTTTAAAAAACTTGGCATAAGCCGGAGTTTGCTTGATTGCATCCAAAAGTGGAAGATTGACTTTCACTTGCCTAAACACATCCATAATTTCATTTGTTTTGGCCTTTTGCTTGTCAATTGAAATGGATCCTTTTAAGGCATCCGGAAATGGAGCTTTTGGCTCAAAAACCTTTTCAGAAATTTTCTTTGAAGTCTCTTCAATACAAGAAGTTTTGAAATCATTTTGCAAATTTTTCTTTTCAGAATCACTTTTCAAATCACTTTTCAAGATATTCTCATTTGAAAGATCATGCATATGTAATGAAGGATGAATAGGATGAGAAACGGGACAGGTGTCAACTTGTGGTTGCACCGGTTCACTCTCTTTATTGGACATACCCACTTGATTGTCCATAATCTTCCCACTTCTCAAGGTAGTCACCGCATTGACATGCTCTATTGTGTGACCTTTCGATGAGGAATGAGTCTCCACAATACATTGTTGCTTTTATGGGGCATTCAAAGGCATTTTCCCTTTATCTCTAGCATTTAAAGTACTAGCTATTTGCCCTACTTAGGTTTCTAGCTTAGCAATGGATTGAGAAACAATTGAGTATTCAGCTCTAAATTGCCCAGAGCGGTCAAAACTTTTTCTTCAAAAGCGGGACTCCTAGCATTTCCTTGAGAATATGATGGTTGATTAGGAAAATGAAAATTAGAAAATTGATTTCCTTGTGATAGAAATGATGATCTAAAACCTTGGGAACCTTGGCTTTACATCGGAGGCGGAACATACTTCATTGGAAACCACCTTGGGGAGGGTTTGAGCCTTCCCCTTGGTTTCTCCAAGAGAAATTCTGGTGATTCCTCCAACTAGGATTATAATGATTGCCATAAGGATTGTTCCTTTGATTAACAAAAGCTGTATTGACTTGTTCATGATGCTCACTTTGCACATGCCCATGGGGACAATTGGAAGTAGAATGTAAAACACTTGAACAAGTCATACATGTCTCATTGGATGCATGATGGGAATGGTTAGGGACAGAAGATACTTGATTTGCCGAGTTTTAGTTGATTAAGAATTGATCAAACCTTTGAGATAAGGATTTCATCTCAGTGGCTATTTCATTGGAATGGTCGACTTGATGTAAGCCAACACTCTTTATTTCACTTGAATTCCTACCATTCTTGGAAGATAAAGTTCGATGCAAAGAATTTTCACTCATGCTCTCATAAAGACGCCACACGTCATCCTCATGCCGATCAATATAAAAGCCACCCATGGAAGTATCAACCATGTCCTTGTAATTGTCCGGTAAGCTCTCGAAGAAATATTAAACTAATTGTCATTTGGGCATGTCATGATGTGCACACTTCCTAAGCAATTCATTGAATCTTTCCCATGCCTCATGGAACGTTTCCCCATCCCCGTGTGAAAACTCTCGAATTGAAGTACTCATGGCAGTGGTCTTAGAAACCGGATAGTACTTCTTCAAGAACTCTTGTTGCATTTCTGCCCAAGAAGTTATTGAAAAAAGCCTAAGATTGTTAAACCAATATTTTGCATTGTCTTTAAGGGTGAATGGAAAAAGTTTAAGCCTTAAGACCTCTTCCGGCATGTCCGTGTATCTCACGGTGGAACATACTTCAAGAAACTCATACAAATGCTTGTAAGGTTCTTCACTTGAAAGTCCATGATAGTTAGGAAGCATTTGAATGGTTTGTGGTTTGATCTCATAGTGGTGTGCTCTAAATGGTGGTAATTGAATACATGTGGGTGTATTGTATTCATTAGGCACATAGTGATCTCTTAAAGCAATAGAAGGATTAGCAATTGGAGGTGCAACATGGGCACCTTGATTACCTTGAATGATGGGAGGTGGTGGAGCATAGATTGGCCTTAACATTCCCAATGGAACTTGGCCTTGTTGTTATGGTGGGTGAATGAATGGCCTCGGCATGCCTAATGGTACTTGCATGTTATCATGATGCACATTTGGGTGGAGGATGCCTTGTTTGTCTATGTGACCAAAGTCCTCCACATGGTCCTCATTATGTCCTTCCATTGATGAAATGGATTGACTAGAACTTTCTCTTCCCCTAGGGTTTTGAACAACGGATTCAAGATGAAAATTTAGAGGGACAATAGTAGGTTTCAATGATCTACGACCATGCATGCACAACAAAACACAACAAGCAACAAGTAATGAACAAACACTTCACCTTTGCAACAAATCAACAATCAACAAACTTCCTTCACATATAATGTTCCCATACTCCCATGCTATCAACAATATGCAAAGAAAAGTATATTGCCTCCACGTGGGCTCACGATATATCTAAGAATTAAAATACAAGCCTCCACGCGGGCCGACTATTTAACTAGAGATTGAGTTAAGAAAGAGCTCGCAAAGGGTCTTTTAGCACTTCAATTCAATTTTCAATTTTAGCCTTGCAAATTTTTTAGATTTTAGCTTTTTCCTTGCTTTTGCTTAGCTCCTTACTTGGAATGCTCCTTTGCTCACCTTATTTTCAATGCACTTAGTCAAACAAGAACCAACACAATAAGTAACCAAAATGAAAATAAAGTAAAGACACGATCAAAAGAGTATTAATTCCAAATTGATTCCACAAATATGACGTTGCCTTTAATCAATCCCCGGAAACAGCGCCAAAAACTTGGTGGATCCGAGGGTCACACCCAAAATCCAAAGTTTGTGCACCAAAAGATAGTGGTGTAGGGCTATGATGAATGTGGCTAAGTTTTACTTTTAGATATTGCCACTATTACCTTTCACTAAAAATATAGTTAGGGCAAGTAGGGATCGTCCCAAAGGATTGGTGGGTCGTACTAGGTTGTGGAATCAAGATTAGGGTTAGTAAGTCGAGTGATCAAAAGATTGGTTGATGGTTGAATTACACTAAGATGCAATTTAAACTAAAGTAGGCAATTAAATATAATGGAGAGAAAATAAGAGAGAGATTTTGGGGTTTAGAGATCACCACTAAGTATAGCTTTTCTACACCCTTAATGAATGATTAGTGAAGGGGAAAACATGTATTGCAACACAGTGTGTGTGTGTGTGGTTGTTTCAACAACTATAGATGACAAATTAAGCATATATTGTCTGAGTAACATGGTGGATAACACAACATTTCAAACTAAGCCATTAATCCTTTCTTTAAGCTCACAATCCAAACACATCACAAGGTTAGAGATATATGCTACTTACTTTCATAAGTATGAAATATCAAACAACAAGCATGGATTGTCCTTCCATTTACCATCTAAACTACAACTATACTACAATTAAGCTAATGACATGAAATTAAACTAAGGGAGAGGCTATATGTCATTTAAGATATATCTATGGCTTATATTAGATCACTTAAGCTAGTTTAATAAAAGTTAGGAAACTGCACTGTTTTATAAAAAAACTTTAAAAATACCTTAACCATTTATACTTTAGTTCAAATCTAAATTTGAATCTGCATAAAAATGCATATAATTATTACTAACCAAATATTTAGTACTTCTAAATAATGAAGAACGTCTTTTTTCTGTTGATATCATGGCAAAGTATGCTTAAAACTAAAATTTTACAAAATTTATCTATTCAGATGTGGACAATGCTTAGCTAATTTACTCCTTATGTGTTCCAATAACAAAATAACACATCAGCTTTAATAACAAAATTAGCAAAATAATAAATAAAAAAAAAAGAAAGTCGGATCGACCCGTTTTAATTTGGTAACTCTTTTCTCTCTCCTTTTTCATTGATTCCCAACTCACGCTCTTCTCTCTCCACTGTTTTTTCCATGAATACATGGTTTAGAAAGTGAAGTATTCTACCATGTGGTCCATCTGCTCTGTTTATCTGGACTTTGGTTCAAGGCCTACTATCAATTGCAAATGGAACCAAAACTAGTCCCGGCAAGATTCCACCAGGACCGGCACCACTTCTGGTTATCGGAAACATTCATAAACTCAACAACCAACCCCACAAATCTCATTGACTTTGTCCACAGTTGTTCCAAATCAGGTGTTCCAGTGGATATAGGACAAGCTGCATTTAGAACTAGCCTTAAACTGTTATCAAACAGCATATTTTCTGTGAATTCGATTGACCCAAGTTCTAATATGGCACAAGAGATCAAGGAATCAGTTCGGGACTGGATTGAAAAGGCTGGAAAAAATTTGGCCGATTACTTCCCTGTCCTTGGAAAGTTTGATTTACAAGGTATAAGGAGTAGCATGGAGATTCATCTTGGGAAGTTGTTTGGGTTCATGGATAGTATGATCAATAAACAATTGGAGATGATTAAATTTCGGGGTTACATCAAGACAAATGATGTGTTGGATACCCTTCTCAGTATAAGTGAAGATGACAATGATGAGATTGATCCAGTTCACATCCAAACATTGCAATACTCTATAATCAAATTCACCAGTGAGTAGCTTTTAAGGCTTACTGTTTGAGCAAAAAAAATAAAAAAAAGGAAGAAGAACAGTGAAGAGAGAAGGGCGTAGGTTGGGAATCGATAAAAGAGGAGTGAAAAAAGAGTTACCAAATTAAAACGGATCAATCCGACTTCCTTTTTTTAATTATTATTTTACTGTTAAAGTTGATGTGTTATTTTGTTATTGGAACACATAAGGGGTAAGTAGGGTGAAGCTACTCACGAATGAGTAGCTAAGCATTGTCCTTCAGATATTGTATAATATTAAATTCAAAAGTATGCATTTTCCACTTTTATAGGAACTTCTGTACCAAAAACAATGGTATCTCAAATTCAAGTACATCATATATCGCTTATGCGACAGTTTTTTTTACCAAAGGTTAAGATCAATGTGGCATTAATAGTAGTATCAAAATTGAAGGTCATCACTAACTATATAAAAATTTAGCCCCCACCTTAACCAGCTTAAATTCAAAAATAAATTTCTCTTTTGAGCTTTTTTTGTGCTTCCGACTTCATGATATTTTAACCAAAAAAACTGCCATGCAAAGTCAGAATGAGAACACCTATAGCAAAGGTAATATAACCCTTTCGTGAATTTCGCTACAAGAATCTAATTCAAGTGTGATACCCCAAACCCTTTTGTGAAGTTCAACCCTTTTTCTTTTTCTTTTTCTTTTTTGTGAACTTCAACCCTTTTGATTCTTAAACATGAGTAGTGTGCGCGGTTGAGCTCAAGTAATATTAAAGGGAAACATGAATCTAATATATGCGCTGATGGTTCACGAATGTCGAAGCTGCAATATGCATTTGCACAATATGCGCCGTTGAGCTCAAGGTTAGTGCATAATACTTTACAAAGTTTAGAATAACATTTACAGCTTCGGAGTGTCTATGCTTTTGGGGCCACAAGTAGAAATTGGTGTAACAAAATACCGAGGACACCGTTAATTTGAGACTTCAAGGGCCCAGAAAAAAGTTCAATTCTTGTTTTGTCATCACTACTAACACTATAAATTAATGACACCCTTCATTTTGCTTTGATATACAACAACTTGCTTGAAATAAACTGATCATATCACATTTATTATGGCAAATCAGCTACCACCAGCTCGTCCATGGTTCCGGTTTTCTTCTACGAATCGCCCTTCAGCCCCAGCACCAGCACCAGCACCAACCATTTTGGCGCCTCAGGCTCAACCACCTGCTTGCCAGCCAAGGCCACCATTTGTCCGACCCACATTTAGGCCCCCAGTAGCCCGACCTCCAGCACCACCTGTTGCTGCACCACCTCCTGCCACCACTTATGTGTCATCGTCATCTCCAACCATCAAAGTTTCCCCTTCTTCATCTTCTCTGCCAACTTCTCCAGCACCAAAACCATCACCAAAATCCACAGTTCCTCAAGTTGCATCCTCTTCTTCACTGTCACCATCTCCTAAAAAACAAGTACTTTCAGCTTCTTCATCTTCATTGCCCACTTCTCCAGCCCCCAAAGTAATGTCACCACCGGCACCACCTTCTTATATCTCTGCCACCGCTGCCTCCACCACCACTGTCAATGCTCGTGCCGCCACCCCACCATCCTCTCCAAAATCTGCCCGTTTCTACTCCACCAGCTCCTCTGTTCCTTCCTCCTGCCCAAATAAAGTTTGTTGGCAAGCCTGAAATCAAGATTCCAGCAGAAGCGGAGAAAAAAAAACTATACTGGTACAAGAAACCTTCAACACCTCCAATGATAACTTTCAAACGCATGCCAGGACGTATTCAGATTCCGAAAATTTTGGGGTGAGAGTTATAACAATTGCAGGTGAAAACAGAGGTGCTATTATGGAATTGAGCCCTTCCCTCCGCAACAAAGGCAATCCCACAGCTCTGAACAACAACGGTGAGAAATTGGAAAGAGAGAGTAATGAAGAAGGGAGGTCAAAGATGAAGGACAAAACTCACAAAATGGTGTGGCCATTGAAGACTACATTCATGAACAGCAACGTCCAGGGTGCGAGCAATTCGATTCTCTTGGACTGTTCTTTCACTCACCACGGTCCTGGTGTCCACCACTCTCTCTCTGGTAAGGCCAACGGTGGCCGTGGAGCTCAGCTAAACGACTAAAATAATTGGAGAAAGAGAGGGTATATATATAAATATATAAAACTTTAGTTTTACAATTTTATGTAATCGGAATAAATATAAATGATTGATGATAAAAGGACCGTGGATTCTGATTCCCCATTGTTATATTCCTTTTACACGATGGGTAAGAGTGATTAAGCAAGTAATGGAGGAAGTAAGAAATGAGGGACCTTTGTATGTATGTATAGTATATGAGTAATGGTTAGATCAAAACAAATGGTAGTGACAATAAATTCAAAATTTTACCGATGTGATTTGATATTAATAATATAGTAACAGGATGTATGAACCTAGATCATTTCTTATGTCATTTCATATCATCATGTGTTTGTAATCAAATTATTTATATAACAATCTCACATGCTTTTGTATTGCTATATTAATTTTTTAATATATTTGTTGCACTAAGATATAATGCGTTAACACTAATAATTTACACACAGCACATGACCGAGGCACCAATTCTCTTCCATAGGAAAGGATCCGAATTCAAATTGTTTATGCAATAGATTCACATTGTATCTGCATTGCAATAACAACTTTTTTCACGCATCTGCGCACTACGATATAATGCATTGCACTAATAATTTGCACATGACCAAGGCACAAATTCTCTTCCATAGGAAATTATCCGAATTCAAATTGTTTATGCAGTAGCTTCACAACATATTTGTGTTGCACTAATCATTTACATACAACACATGACCCGGCACAAATTCTCTTCCTCGAGGGGATCCAAATTCATAGATATGATGACACCAATAACAGATGGACAAAAATCTGCTCCAATGCACCTCTCATTGGACCATCCAAGGGTTGAGATGAAACCACCTTAGCCCCTTTTTGCCACATCGCCGCAGCTCCAACTCAGCGCCTAGTCAGCAACTTAGTCAACAAAGTTACTGATGTACTCTTTTTTTTACCACGTGAACTAATACAGCAGCCAAATCGACAGCACGATCTACAACTATACAACATACACTTAGACCATCTCCAACCGTTATGCATATTTTTTTGTGTAAATTTGATGTGTCATCATTGATTTACACAAAAAATTTGAATTATTTATTTTTAGTTCCAACGGTTGTTTTATACCTTTCGTGTAAAAATATATCCCTCAATAACAACCAACCACGTGTCATGCCAAGACCCACATAATTTTTACAAACCTACTTAATATATATAGGGTTAATTCTTTAATGGAATGAGAAACAAGGAGGAGAAAGGAAATATGTTGATGTGGATGTGTAAAAAAGTTATGTAAAATACACAATAATTTTACACATTTATGTATCTTAACAGATTATTAAAGATGAAAAAAATAATAATAATAAATAAATAAAAATTACACATCATATGTGGCAGTGTATATTTTACACAAAATGATATTTTAACAGATTGTTAAAAATGCTCTTACACATTATATATATACAAAAATATATATACAAATCTTATATGCAAAAATATATGGGTGTTGGTCAATATCCAAATATACATATAACAATATATTATATACAAAAATATTTAATTCCATCCCTTTTCTGTAAAATTACAAATTCTCACACAACATACACTTATACAAAAATATATATACAAATTTTATATATAAAAATATATCAGTACAGTTTAGTACCCAAATATACGTATAACAATACATTATATACAAAAATATTTTATTCCATTCATTTTCAGTAAAATTACAAATCTCCATAAAACATATACTTGTACATTATATATATATACAAATTTTATATACAAAAATATATCGGTACAATTCAGTATCAAAATATACATATAACAATATATTATATACAAAAAAAAATTATTCCATTTCTTTTCAGTAAAATTACAAATCTTAAACATTGATTACGTATCGGTATAGTTCAATATCCAAATATAAATTTATTTTAGATTTTAGGGTTTTGAAATAATTAACTAATTATATAGATTTTAAGGTTTGAAATTGTTAAATTGAGTTGTGGAAGTTAATTTTTTTAATGTGTTAGGAAAATATATTGATGCTATATGCAATTCATACATGATATACATTTAAAAAAAGTTGTGATAATAATAATTTGATCTCTCCAACTTTTGTATTGTATGCTGTTACAAAAAGTAGGTGATGAAATATGCAAATCTTCCTACATATATGTTGAAAGTATTTGTGATTCTTATTATTAATTTATGAATTGTCAAATTGAGTTGTGTAGGTTAATTTTTTTAACGTGTTAGAAAAATATGTTGATGCTTTATGCAATACATACATGATACATGTTTAAAAAAGTTGTGATACTAATAATTTGATCTCTCCAACTTTTGTATTGTATACTATTACAAAAAGTATGTGATGGACTATGCAAATTTTCCTACATATATATTAAAAGTATTTGTGATTCTTATTAATTATTAATTTAGGAATTGTGAAATTGAGTTGTAGAAGTTAAATTTTTTTAACGTGTTAGGAAAATATGATGATACTATATGCAATTCATACATGAGACATGTTTAAAAAAGTTATGCTAATAATAATTTTATCTCTCCCACTTTTGTATTGTCTGTTGTTACAAAAAATAGGTGATGGAATATGCAAATCTTCCTACATATATATTGAAAGTATTTGTGATTCTTATTATTAATTTAGGAATATATTGTGAAATTAAGTTGTGGAAGTCAATTTTTTTTAATGTGTTAGGAAAATATATTGATGCAATATGCAATTTATATATGATACATGTTTAAATAAGTTGTGACCATAATAAATTGATCTGTATGTTGTTACAAAAAGTAGGTGATGAACCCAGCCTTCAAATTTTTTGATTACCAATAATCACCACTGGATTAATGCCGCCATATAAGATAAACTTTGATATATCATTACGAATAAAGTTATAAGAAATTCAAATGAACAACCTAATACTTGTAATGATCGGAGCTTTAACTTCTTCCTGGACTATCAGAAATATTTTGGGGGAATCTCTCCTTCTCGGAAATTTTAGCTTATCACCAGAATGTATGGTGATTTTTCCAACTAGATCTCCTTTTGTTTGCTATGCCTCTTTGACCTTCACCAAGAGAGTTTTTTACACATAAACATAGATAGCAGAGTTTTGGGGAGATTTTCTTCGCCGGATTTCAAATTTCAGAGAGGGATTTCCTATTTGATATTTCAGACTTAGTATATATAACAGAGTTTTGGGGGGAAGGTTAACTTTCCTTTTGGGGAGAAATTGAAAATTGAAATTCAAATACGATTTTGGAAATATGCAATAATACAGTGTATAAAGAAGATGTATAAATTATACTAGAATGGATGATCAGAGCTTCAGCTTCTCGCCAGACTGAAATTTTTTTGGGAGAATCTCTCATTCTCAGAGATTTTAGCTTCTCGACAAAATATATGGTGATTTTTCCAAATGGACCTTCTTTGAACACGGAGATCATTTTGCTTCCAAAAAAATGTCCTCAGTTCTGCTTCAGCTCTTCGCTGGATACACTGACTTACTCTACTTCTTCTCCAAAATCTTTATCTTTATATGTAATCTCTTGGTTGCCTTGTCATACTCGGTTTCACTTAATCTTGGATGAGGTTCAGTTTGGATGTTTGAAATTTCAGAGAGGGCTATTTCAGAATCAGTATATATATATAGCACACTTTTGGGGGCAAGCTCAATTTTCTTTTTGGGGGGAATTTGAAAATTGAATGACAAATACAATTTGCAATTATACAGAGTATAAACAAGTATGTATAAATCACATGTATAAGACAAAGTCAAGTAAATACTGATTTAACCAATTTGCCACCTCAGCCCATTAGACAGTTTCCAGTGAGAGGTGCAAAGGAGAAGATTCTTTTCCAAAACAGATAGGGACTCCAAGTCTCTAATTTCAAAGGTGACTCCTTGTAGTTGTGAGTCATTAAATTTTGACCAAATATAATTTGTTATTTCAATTGCATGTTAAAAAAATTTAAGAATGGATGCATCACTATCATTATTATTGAGACAGTATATAGGTAAATGTTGAAAAGCGAAATGTCAATCATCATCACTTATATTAGTATATTAATATAATAATTCAATACCAAAGGACCAAATGGCCAGCAGTATCATCCCTTTCTCCACAAAAGGGAGGTCAGGGGTTCAAACCTCGGTGGAGGTAGGGTGTGTGTGTAATTGCTTTAACTTTCAATATATATATATATATATATATATATATATATATATATATATATATATATATATATTCAATTAATAAACTTTACCAACCATATAGTTAATAATATATATATTTAGGGTTAAATGCAAAAAAAACCCCTGAATTATAGGGGTTTTGCAACAAACCCCCTTGAACTACAAAAAAAAAAAAAAAAAAAAAAAAAAAAAAAAAAAAAAAAAAACCCTGAGAGAGGGGTGAAGGTGATGGCAGTTGGCAACCGAGAGAGAGCTCGGCGGTGTGGGTTGTGGAGATTTTGGCTGGTGGAGAGCTCGACGGTGCAGAACAGCGACTACAGAAGTCGCAATTCCAGCGCAAATCAAAGACTGGCACAGCAGTGTTGGATCCAGTGTTGGCGACAATGGCTTGTACGCACTGGCAATTGGTAGAACAGTGGGCAAGATGGGCTGTGGATGAACTTCGGTAGTGCTCGGATGGGAGCGAGACGATGACGGCGAGCTTTCGTAGCGGTGGGCGACGGGTTGTGGAGAGGATCAAGGCAAGGATAATGAATACTTGGGTGAGTTGTTTGCTTGTACTTAATAACTTTTGATTAAAATTATAATACTTACTGTTCCTGAATGGACCTTCCTTGCTGCCACCAGCACCACCATCAGAGATAAAAAATTGCACAAGAGATTCTTAATATTGTTTGTTTTCATCTGAATTTTTTTGTTCTACTTAATTTAGGTTGTTTTTGGCTTACACTTTTCCATTGAATTATATTCTTGCACAAGGGATTTCTATGACAACAAATAATGTCTCAA